TGGGGAATATCAGCATGTTTTTTGGTGTCGAATCCTAACACGCTAATGGAGTTGTTGTCAGTCAGCTGCTATAGCAATGGATCAGCGTAGTGTAGTCGGCACATAGAGCGAGGAAAAAAATAGAAGTTGTTTTGAGTTATTCTTCAACAGTTTTTCTGCGTTACTCTCCCTTTGCTGCTGCGCACCGCACTAAATTATACTAAATAATAGCTACATCTCCGGGTTTCATTTTATTAACAGAATTGTTTTTCCACCAGAAAAAATGTCCCAAAAGTCAGTGGCCGGCGGACATCACTTACTGGAATATTAAGACAGGTGATAGCCTGAGCCATGGAATCAATTACCCATAAAATCTATTTTTCTCTGCACCTCTACGACAATCCAATCCCAACCATTCTGTTAGTTTTGAGGGATTGCAAAAATGAGAGTGCAGACTTTATTGTTATTTTCACAATAAATGAAAAATTCTGCCAATGATAAAAATAAATGACACAAGTATTTGCCCATCCCTTGCTGCTGTTGTGTTGCTTCATGGTTTTACAGCCCAAGTCTCCGCAGCATATAATGTGTTTAACAGATACTCAGTTTTCAGTTTTTATGGTTACGACCCACAGACTTCTCCTGTTTATTGTGTAAACTGTTTAATAACCAGAGGCTGCATAAACACTGCTGGTTTATGTTCTGTAGTAAAACTGGAGCAGTAATAAATAGAATAGGATCACCTGGGAGATAAAAATATAATTTTTCTCCTGACAGCAGCCTATAGCTCCGCAGAACAGAAAGTGATTTCTCATAGCGACAGGACAGACTTACAGATTCTGCAGATAACAAATTTTGCCGGACGATAAATTGTTTCAGTAATTATTGCGATAATCGATAATTTTTCAAGCAAGATGTTGATAATATAATGATATTGATAACACTGACAATCGATAATTTTTCAAGCAAGATGTTGATAATATAATGATATTGATAACACTGACATCTCATTGCCAATTTCACTTACGTGTCTTTGTAAATGACAATAAAATAAGTCTAAGCCTAAATATTGATGATGGTATAATAATGCAAGTTCGCTCTCTCAAAGACTGATAAAGTTTAATTTTGTAAACTTTAGCTGGAACTGGGAGATATCTAAAGTATACGACAACCAAAAACAATGACTAGAATGGAAATTTAAAAAAACACTACAACCGTAACCATAAATAAAATGTGTTAGGAAATGTCTATGACCAAAATTGTCCTTCAAAAAATATTAATGGTTAGAATGGAAATTATTGAGCTCATTTTCATTTATCAGGTGGTTAACTGCTTACTGCAACAGGCTTTGATAAATGTCTATAAATATCCGGTTCCAAGTGAGGACATATTTTTATTACCTGCTTAAGAAGAAATATTTCTAGTTTAGTGAAATAAAGTGAATACAGCTCTATCCTTCCTTTATTTATTTATTTCTTTTGCAGGGATTTTCCTTCATTTTTTTTTTTTTTTTTAGTCTGATCCAATTTAGCACACTTGATTAGAGAACCATCCAGCCAGGGGGCTTCCACTGGCTTCAGTGAGCAACACAAGAATAATAATAATGATTTAAAAAAAAAAGAGACCGCTTATCTCACTGCCAGTCGCTAGATAAGAGTTAACAGGATTTTGCAGACTTGGAGAGCGGATGCAAAGCGTTGTTGTGGCTTTTGTGCGCGAAGGCGGTGGGATGGTTTGTGTTTGTGTTGAGCTCAGTGCTGTCTGCCTGTATGGATGTCCTAAAGGCACTGGAACCCTTCTGCAGAGATAAGAGAGGTGGGAGTAATGCGGAAGCTACAATAAAAGCAACTTCCCAACCTCAGGACAGCGTCAGAGGGCGGCGGGAGGCAAGAGCAAGCGCTGGTCCTGTGATAAGGAATGTGGGAGGTGAGAGAGGCTGCAGGAAGTCTGGGCGGGGTGGACCCACACTGCTGCACAGCCTGAACGTCTCACAAATGTGTGTAAATACGAGTCGTTTGTGCTATATTTGGGACAATTTTCTGGTTTTTGAATGTGATATATGCAGCATAGGCGGCAAACACCCCTCAAGGACACACACATGCACACACTATCAGTCACACACTATCAGTTTCTATCACTTTACTGCTTGTCAGGGATTCTAGCAGTCTGATGGCAAATACAGTCCTAATCAAAGTCTGAAAAGAATGGTGGTCAAAATAGTCAATATCTCGATGTAATCGATTCTGGGAAAATAAATTATTCAAAGATACTCATTGGTGTCAAAATCAATCCAAACAGACCAATTCACATTTGTCTAAATTGTCAAATTTCTTTTGGCCCCAACACTACAGTATGTAAATTTCATAAAGCATGAATTAGGAAGTGTCATTTTTAAACATATTTCTATAAACAAGAGCTGAATTCTGACCCACTTTATTGGCTTTTACTAAATTAAGAAGGCTAAAATATTGTTGACTTCCTCTTAACTAGAAAGAAGCCAGTGCCTTTAAAAATGTTGCTGCTCATCTGAAAAAAGCATAGAGTATCTTTCTTAGCATCTGTATCTTGTTAGAAAGTTCAGCATTGTAACAATCCTGCAACTAAGTAATTTTCACGTTTAATAAAGTCAGATGTAGATATACAAAACTAATCTGATTCTTGAAAATGTATTCTTGTATCATTATACCACTACTATTATATTAATTGAAACTAGTCTCAAGACAACAATATTATCGTTTATCGCAATATCTTCTCGAACAATTTATCGTCTGGCAAAATTTGTTTTTGACAGGCCGACCTGAGAGATGCATTGAGTTTCTTTTGCTTCATCTTTAATGTGTCAAGTTTACAGTTTGTCCAACTGTAAACTTGAAAAACTTTCGTAAAGTTCTGTGATATTACAACAAACTACAGGCAGAATTAGACGTGGTTTCTTTGTCTCTACGTTTTCTCTAATAGCAAAAAGCTGACCACTGCAAATGACGAAGGGTCAGATTCCACATGCTTTTTTTTTTTTCTTAGGTTCTGACATTCAAACATGCACAAGATCAAACGGCTAGCTATCTCTCTTTGACCTTCGGCGCAACCTCCTGCAGCTTGTAAGCAACGTGGGTCCTTAAGACAGTCCAAGATACTAACAAAGGAGTTTTCCATATTTCATGAGCCGCAGTGTAGCAGTCCAACTCTGTGTGAGGAAGCTGGTTTCATTAAGGAGGTTGGGGTTATGTTTTTGCAGAACAATTTGACATAAATGCATGTGTCAGATGTGGATAGTGTGAATCATCGTGATGCTGATCAGCAACCTGAGCCTAATGAATTAATTACCAAACCATTTAACTGCATGTCAGTCATAATCACATTACTGATGCTGTAATTTCACATCAAATAGTTTGTAAGCCTGTTTGAAGTTTCTGACAGTAATGCTAAGTCTTGTTATTTAATCCATAAATGTAAGTAACAGCAGATTAGTGTTGGATGCAACAATGCAGACATGATCCAGCATGAAAACTTCACTTTGAATGCATCGCACAAATATCCATATATTTATTTTCATTTTCTGTCTCCACTCTGGGGGGAGTACAGCCAATCAGAGCCAAGTAAAAACAAAATGGAGCTCCTGGATTGGAAGGCAGTCATTTCCCATTTTATAAGCTAAAATATATTTTTCCCAAATATAGCATGCCATTTGGGTATATGAGCCTGAGTTTGTGATGTTCAATGTAAATTAATAAGAAAAAAATCAATCGACAGCAAACATCTGAAATCATTATTTCAGCTAATTCTGATCCCAAAATGAGCGTGAGAAGGACCGCACCCCCACGTTTCCACCATACTCATGTTTTATGCATCATCGTCCACAAATCATCACAAAGCTATAATTTACAGCAACAGCTGTAGATTTAACTAAATTAGATACTTTTTTTTTTAATTGGCCAACGGGATTACAGCATGAGACTCTCCACCTGGGCAAACACAGATTAGCTGATCCCGCGTTAACATCGAGCTCGCCGTTTAATCAGAACCAGACAGACTGAAAATGCAGCCAATACATCAAACTTATTCATATCACTTCATGAACCTACCCAGTTGGCTTTTTTTTTTCTTAAATAATGCTGATTTCATACAGGCGGTATTGTTGTAGCTCCAGGTATGTTGAATAGCGATCTATAAAGTCAGAGTGTCAAAATTAAAGCTCGACCTTCATTTAAAACGTACAAAAAAAAATAAAAAAATTAGGAAAATGTATTAAAAGCACACAGTACAAAAAGCGTCCAGTAAAAATTAAAGTCACGGACCATGGAGGGGGATGTGGGGGGTCACCAAATGGGTGGCGGCGAGGCTTATTTCCGCCACGCGAGCCGCAGAAATGACCTGCTTTAGCGTAGCAGGTTCCAGCCGAGCGGTGAGCTCTGGGAGACTCGGCACTGACCCTCGGCGCTCAAGGCAGTCAATTAAAATTGTATGATCAACTGTGTCAAATGCTGCACTTAGGCCTAAAAGGATTCGAGACCAAGCAATCTTGTGCATCTGCTGTAAAAACATGGTAATTTGTTACTTTCATAAGGGCTTTTTATGCACTTCTTAGTACCACGGAATGTGAGCGGGCTTTAAAAGAGGAGGAAGAAGACAAAATAACGTAAATATAAGTACTACTGCAAATCACAGATGTGTCTAAGAGTACACTTCATTACATAGAAACAGATGGAAATAGATTCAAATTGTAGCAAAAATGTGTTATTGTGTCCAGACTTGTGTTTTGACTTTTACTTTAAATGAAAGTAGAGGTTATAAGCAGCAGAAAAAACTTCTCTTTTATTTAGGGGAGTGAAGGCTTACATCTCTGGTGCCTGCCAACTATGAATATTTCAGTCGCAGCTCAACTTTGCTAAACACAAAGCAGCACTTTCACTCATGGTTTTGCACACAACCTCCCCCCCCCCACACACACACACACCTACGCACACACACACACAAACACAAACATGTACACATTGACACGTATTAGTCGAGTGTTAACTCACAGGTCAAAGCGAAGATTCTGCCTCTCCTCGAAGAAGTAGTCCACAATGAATTTGCGGACAAAGTCAGGATTGAGGGTGTTGTCTATGACTTCTGTCCTGCCAAACTGAAAGACAAATCAACCAATTAGCTTTTACTATTGTTTTAGTGCTTGACAGATTATTATTGTCACTGTAACATAATGTGCATTGTTGTAAACACAGAAAACAACATAATTTACCAAGTTTAAAGCAGTTAAAAAAAAAATGTATGAAAAAATAGGTGAATAAAAATATCCATGAATATTAGGGCCAGGACTTTAACGTGACCGGAACCTTTGTATTTGCGAGTTTCTGGTACCGCCATTAATCTGACGCACAAGCGACATCCGCAAATAACACATGCACAACCAGTGTTTATTTTTGCTTAAGAAACAACAACAATCTGACGGGACTTCGGAAATGACTATTTTTTGTGCAAATTGTGCTAAAAGGAGTTGAACTGTTCAAGTGAGGCAAAACTATTCAAGCCTAAAATATCATCTCAATGCTGTCTACAGATTTCACTGGCGATTAGTTGGCTAAAAAAATGTTAGCCACTTTCTGGAGACAATTCATTTAACAACTTAAACCTTTTTGATCAAATATTAGAAATATAAAGAAAATGAAAATAAACAAATATTTCAATTCCTTTTTTTAAAAAGAAAAACATTTCGTAGCCTAAAATGCAACAACAGTGCTTTTCTTTAGTGAATGCTGGATCATTTGTAGCAAAGGATACATCTGATTAATAGTTTGCCAACAAAGGGTGCTTAACAGGACATTTTTTGTTGTTTCCAAAATTTGAATGAGGTAAAGCTAAAAGCTAAAAATAAATCTTAAATGTAAACTGTATACATCGTTGGTACGGTTTTGGGTTAATATGTTGTTCTTTCAACAAATGGTCTTTTTCTCCAGTTTTGCAATTAATCAATTACTAATTTAGTTGACAATTATTTTAATTAAGCAATGAATTGTGGTTAATCAACCAATAATGATCAATTGATTAATCATGATCAATTGATTAATCATGGTTAGTCAATTAATCATGAATGATCACGATTAATCGTTTCAGCCCTACCAGCTTTCAAAACATCTTTATGCTGCTACAGCGTGTGACTGGGAGCCTAGCCAGCCGTTCCCCAACCGTCTCACTTGGTACTCACCTCCCTCCATTCTCTGTTGGCGATCCCTTGAGTGTACAGAACACAAACTGTTGAGAAGGAAACAAAGGAGGGCAGAGAAAAGGAGAGGGTTAGATTCAACTGAGAGTATTTAACAGCAGAGAAGCAACACTCTGAGGCCAGCCAAGAGGGAGTTCTTTATCCACATCCTGACGTGACAGAACCTTGTCCTAATTAAATCCAGATGGAACTCCACCTCACAGCACAGTGATATTTCACGGAGTTGGGGAGCGGAGGGGTGGGGAGTGAAGGACAGTATTCTGATGGGACTACTCAACGTTAGTAGGAGTCTGTGAGTGTTTCCTGAGGATGGACCATGAGAGAGAACAGAGCCAGGCAATCAGCTGTCACTAATGTGACATTTCATTTGCATTCAAGCAGCCTTTACGGTATTCACAAACACGAGCCCCATGTCAGCCAACATTAAGTCAGAAAATCCAGTCATACGACACACTTTTACATGTGTTACCTGGCAAAATGCATTCAGGAGGAGAGACCATTGTGGTTGGAAAAAAAACTGAGATAAAGAACTCCTGTTTTACTTTTGAAATCCTATATCAATTTTCTTTCCTGTTGATCTTTTACATTTTTTTTAATTTCATGTTTGTTTCATTTCTTCCACTAATGCAGACTCCGCAGACGTTATGGTAAGACTGTGAAGCAAAATAAAGGGAACATGTCAGTTTGGAAATAATGGAGTTCTATAGAACAGGAGCCAATTCCGCTCGATTCTCATCTCTCTTTAGTGTTCAGTTTTAGCATTTTATTGTCTTCTCCAGGGTGTACACTGCCTCTCGTCCCACTGTTTTTTTAAATGGAAGCATCAATAAATGTGAAAATACAACTACTGCACTTACTGTGTGGAGTTCTGCAATACAAATCACACTTCTTTACGTGATTCATGTTCTAGACAAGTGTATTGCAAATGGGAATGTTTTGTAAGATCATTTTTTGTATTGGTAGGGCTATAACTGTTGTGACACAGTTATAGCAGTCAAATACATATAGTTACCTGAAAAAGAAGCAATAAATAGTTCTTATTGTCACTTTTGTCATCATCACAATAGTACACAAGGCAAAAGTGATAAAATTTTAAGTCCATATTCCACTCGTAGTCAAAAATTTTAAGATTATAGACGGCATTATTAAAACGTAATAATTAGGGGCATACAATACATCAGAACCAACATTTGTATTCGCCGATAATACTCAATTTTAACCATATTGGTATAGGCTCGATAAATAAAACTGTGTGAGTATTAACAGCCAATATTTATTTCCAAATTTCTTTTTTGTCAAAGTGTCAAAATGGTAGAGAATATGTATGATATATCGGATATCAGCCATAACAGCAAATTAATGAAATATCGATAGCAGCCCCGATGTTCATATCGGTGCATCAATAAGGAGTAGCTGTTGTTTTTCTGTGTAAAATAAAGGCAATTAGATGACATCATAGATTCAAATTTTTGTGTAAAATACTCTAATACCTTATTGTTTTACTTTATTGTTTTAATCCGATGACAAACCATATTTCATTAATCAATCGATGTATCCTACTCCAATCGATATGCTATACCTTGGGAACCATCTAACAAGAACACATCACAAGGAGAGCAGACTATGCGTTTCCAACACATTCCACCTGAACAGCTGGAATTACCAACTCTAATAGACCAAGAAAAGCAACCTTTGACAGTCCTTATCTTGTTTTCTTATAAAATATGTGAACAAACCCCAGCATGGATACATCTGGCATCTTAAGTTCGGTTCAACATCCCCGCTATCTTTGGTTCTGACTTGGAAGACTTTATTAAAAAAAATAAAAATACTTTTGATTTCATGACATGAGGTTCTGATTGCAGAGGCAACACCTTCCGAGGCAACGTGCATCATCATTACCTGCAGCATTCATTAATTGCAAATTTATGCACATGTTAATATATGAGCTGCTTACATACTGATGAATGGACATGAGAGAATTAATCATGAAATTATGAGCTGTTGAAGATCGAGAGCGAAAATTATCTCCAGTTTCAAAATCAGACCTGATTAATTCTATTTTTTTTTTCCTTTGAACAAATTTGATCATTTGGACAGGAGCTGATGAGCCGACATGCTCTGGATTTTACTGATAACTTGTGAAATAGTTTTATTATTTTTTCCTTTCAAACTCCAGCCTTGAACATATAGCTTTGGTGCAAACAAAACAAAACAACAACGCCTTTGTCTGCAGCGTGAATGCAGAAAAATGTGAAACAGGGAAATCGTTGACGGCGCTGTTAACTCTGAAAGACACCAACAGGTCAAAGGAATAAAGCAACAAACAGGAAGGCAAAGATCTTACGAAAAGAAAGTTTGTCAAGCTGATGTGTTGGAAAGTTTTAAGTGTAAGAATGTTTAAGGGAAGCCAAACTAACACATTTAGGATTTGTTCGCCGTGTTTATGAACGATAAATCTCAGAATGTGTTCCAGTCAGACGCAGGGCCGCAGGTGAACCAGGTGCCGGGGTCGTTGGCACCGAAGGCAGCTCTTTTCAGTAGCGCAGCTGTTGAGAATCTTAATGCATGTTGATAGAAGGGTGTCGGAGCGCATCTGACTTACAGATTGCTGAGCAGCTGAAGAACGGTTAGACTGTCCAAGCACTTAATTCTACAGGATGTAATTTTTTTTACATTAAAAAATTTGTTCTTTTTACATAGTTAAAATTACCATTAAGTCCTGACAGCATAACACAGAAAATCTGTGGGGGAAAAAAAAATTGAGCTCCTGTGCCTTCCCTCGATAGTCCTGCTGTCCTCTGCAGAAATACTCCACTCTCTAAAAACAACCAATCAGAACCAGGAGGAGGGCCTTAGCGCTGTCAATTAATCTTGTGTATGCGCTGCTCACATTCTCCCCCCACTTGCTCTCTGCTACACTACAGCAGGTGCATTACAACAGAATAATGGTTGGTCAGGTTAGTTAGCATGGCCACCGAAGACTGTTGTTTGACCACCATTTCTACATACACAAGGCATATACACAAGGTTGATTGACAGCACTAAACCACTCCTCCTAGCTCTGATTGGTTGTTTTTGATTGGGAGCGGTGCATGTTTTTCAGACAAATATGTAAAAAACATATTTTTGCAAAAGTTAGGTACTGCAGCTTTAAGAGAATACTTTGGTCACTCCTGACCAAAAGTAACAAAAAGGTCAGTCTTAAAATAAAAATTCAGAAACCTAAGCTGTTCATAAGAAAAAACCCAACATTGCTCAAATGAAACAATTCCACAAGGAAGAGTGGGCCAATATCTGATGAAACAGTTACTGCAAAGTTTAGGTGTGGCACACCATTTATTTTTTACGGATTACTTTTTTTTTTTTGCATTTGGCCAGAATGGTTTGGATAGCTTGATAGCTAATTTGGAATCAACACGCTACCACATTTGCATCATATAAAGCACTGATTGAGGAATAGACCTTGCATTACTAACAAAGGCTAAGAACAACATCTGTGAACAGCAGTAGATGCATGGCACACATAGTGGTGCGTTCACCTAAAACCTCGTTTGTCCAGATTACTCCAGGCTATATTTACTGCTACAATGTAGGCAGTACAGAAGGTACATACATACTTTGACAGGGTTCTGTCTGCTTAATGCCCTTTTCCAGTCTGCTGAAGCAAACACAAGGGATGAAACACACACACACACACGCATGCACACAGTCACAAACATGCAAAAAAGTAAAACACTGGAATGCTGTTCAGCTTTATAAGCTGATATGAATAAGGTCTGTGAGCTTGCCGGTGGCCTGAGATGTATGTATGTGTGTGTCTGCGGTAGTGAGTGTGTGTGTGTGCGGCTCTGTCGAGGCAGTCTAATGCTGTGTGACTGGGGCCAGTGCTGTCAGCAGAGCAGAGACATGGACGCAGCACAAGTGCCTCCTTGGATAAGCGTTGGGGCGGGCAGGGATGCTCATCCTCCTTTCCTTTCCCACCATCTGACATTTAAAGGTCCAATCCACAATTCTGGGAGCTCTGCAGTTTTTGGCTTCACCAGCAACCAACCACACAGCTCACAGCAGCTCAGGCCACGATAATCGTAGCTACGGCAGAGTCTGACAGAGCCGTCCGGGTTGCTAGCGGAAACGCAGGAGTGAGCGATGTAAACGAGGGATTACGATAAATCTTGAACAGGACTGAGGACAGGCGTCTGTGTGGAACCTTATGTGACATGAATTAGAATGGTATGGCTATGAGACAAATTGTTATAGAGTAGGGTTGAAACGATTGTGAATAATCGATTGTTGAAATAATCATCAACTAATTTGCCGATCGATTAATCATTAATAAATTAAAAAAAGGTTGGATATTAAAAATCCGTACTCTGACCCACTCTGATGTCAGCCATTGCATATTAGTTCATTTTTGTTGTTGTAGCTGAGAATTCCCATGAATAAGATACATACAAACGCAGATTTGGGACAGTTGACTTGTATGCAAAATGACAGACTGTGACCCCTAAAACCAGAACGGCTCTAAGCGACTGGGGGATATTATTTACTGGACTCGCATAAACACATCCTCTACAGTAAAAATGGGCAAAAACAAAACGGCAGATGGCTCATAACACTGGGGATATAAAAAAAGGAAATCCAAATCAAGCAGGCTTATTATACGTTCAACAAAAAATGGTTCATTTAAATGTTGGACAGTCAACTGCGAACAAGTTGAAGGAAGCAAACCAGACGACAGAGTTCTGTGTCAGGATGTGAGTCTCATAGGTGAAAGTTTTCTGTATTGAGGGAAGCAAGTTAACAAGTAATGGAACATCTCATTTCTGTAACCTGAGATCTTAGGATGCTTTTAATCCTGATAGTCGGTGGACTCGGTTTGATTGGGGACCGAAGTTGCAACATTTGTTACATTTTCAGCTGCTGCAGTTTTCTGTGGCACTGCACTGTGTCAAATAAAGCAAAAACCTGTTCACCTCATCACCTGTGGTGGTGCTGCACCGAGAACTACTGAAGGATACGACACAAAAACCTATGAAGAAGAAAGACACAGAGTGTGACTTCCTTCTTCATGAAATGTAAATAAAAATAGTGTCGTCAGATTTTAATGGTTGTAGGATTTCTCATTTGTCTTTAGCAAAAGACCATGAGTCGTTTCTCCAGCTAGCGGTAGAAAGTTGTGTTTGTTACGGTTGTGTTTACCCAGAATGTCCTCCATTGTGGTCCACTTCCTGCGTTTGGAGCGGTCTCTGATCCGCTTGGCTCTCATATATGCATTCATACCACACCAGACTTCACTCCAGCCAAACCAAGACATAGGTTTGTAGGCGGACCAGAGTTCAAGCTTTTGGTCTACATCAGAGTTTGATTAAGCTACGTTCAGACCGAACAGGATTTGAGTGTTAGAGGCGTCTGGTTTACATGCAAAATCTATGAGGGGGCTGCAAGAAAGCTCGCGGTGCGTCTCAAAATGTGTCTTCTGGTGAGCGTATGAAGCACTTAGAGCATTCAAAGCACGTCCAACGTAGCCAACACTGCAGCTGGAAAATCTGAATCTTTGCAGATGGAGCTTCAAACAATCAGAGAGACTTCGCTATACCATGTAGTGGTCTGTAGTTGGTGTCCTGCTAGGAGATTGAGGCACCGAGGAAGGTCAGCAGGTCATCAAACTGGGCTCAGGTGAGATGAAAATGGTGCTCAAAGTGACCCTCATCAACCCGCAGCCAGGCTGTGAACCTCAAATTCACAACGCCTATGAATTGTCTTGTGAATTCAAACAGGGCACTGAGGAGCTTGATAATGACATTTTCTTGCTCTCAGTGAATAAAGCTGCGACACTCTCCGTAATTTGTCCGCCATTGTACAAAGAGAGAGGGAGAGGAAAAAAAAGGCAAAAGTCAAGAGGCTCCTCCATGCCTTGTTCAGACGAGGGTCAAGAGTGATTTTGACGCACAACATCAAGCGTCCGACTTGACACGTTGGATGCGTTTTTGATGCGTTGGATGCGTTTTGATGCGTTGGATGCGTTTTGATGCGTTGGATGCGTTTTGATGCGTTGGATGCGTTTTGATGCGTTGGATGCGTTTTTGACACAAAGAACACATCCAGTCTAATTTACATTCACACCTCCCCAAACGAACCAGACTTTCTCGACAAACAAACGAGAGTTCAACTAAAATGAACTAAAGACAGCTGGTGTGAATGCACCTTTAATGAAGGTGTAGATCAAAACCTTTTAAAAAAGCCAGACTAGTAGTCAAATGAAAACAGCCAAGCGAGTGAGGTGTGTGTCTGTGCAAGTGAGGTCGGTACTTGTGTGTGTGTGTGTGTGTGTGTGTGTGTGTGTGTGTGTGTGTGTGTGTGTGTGAGTGAGTGATCTGGTTCCCCTCACTCACATTGAGAGCAGAGAACAGTGACGAATACGACCCCTGACATATGCAAATGCCCACTGATTCACACAGGCCAAACAGTGTGGAGCTGTGGGTAATGTGTGTGTGTGTGTGTGTGTGTGTGTGTGTGTGTGTGTGTGTGTGTGTGTGTGTGTGTGTGTGTGTGTACATTTGCAGTGAATGCCAGTCTGTTTTTGTTCAGTTAAAACATGTTGGCGTGTGGTGCCAGTTTATCTGCTAAAATGTACGCGTGCAGGTTGCTTTTACATGTTTGTAAGACATGCTGGGAGCTGTTGAGAGGACCTGTTGGTGATGTGTGTGTGTGTGCGTGCATGCGTGCGTGCGTGCGTGCGTGCGTGCGTGTGTGCGTGTCTGGGGGAGTAGGTTGGACTAGGAAAACAGATAAGTCAGGGAGAAGCTTACTTGGATCAGACTTGGAGAACGTGTCTCTATCCAGCAGGTTCCTGAAGAGAACAAAGACACACGGACAGAGAAATTAATTACACTTCTCTCCTGCCACAGCAAAGAAAGTTATTACATCATTAAAACTCTCCTAATTAGCTTCCTCGCTGACCCTGACAACTTGTTTACTCCTAATCCTCTTCTGACTTCATTAACAAAAGCCTTTTCTTCCAATCATCTAGGCAGCAACGTTAAGCAGACAACAACATCAAGCTTACAGTGGAGCTTATGCATATTTCAGCCGTACCATGACAGAACTTCAGTCCTGGGACTATTTTTCACTCTCTTTGCACTCTTCTCTTTGCTAGAAGCAACAGCAGAGGATGCCATGAAATTTACATGGCACTCTGGTTGTGTTTTCTTTTTTTTTCTGTACACTAGGAGAAATAAATGGAGCTGTGGGTCCTATTACAGTGGAGACGGACCTCAGTGCTGACAGAGGTCTGGATTGACAGGTTTGGAAGGATCGGAACACCCGAGAGATGACGGAAAGGAAATCGTGGATAAGCTCCGATTAAGGGTAGAGAGACCTGTCTGGTTGGATAAAAATTTATGAACTTTTACCAGTCCCTAAGGCGGAGAAATGAGCACAGTCTTGAGTGGCAGCCCTTAAATTTTTAGCATTTCATGAACGGCCACTTGGGGTTGAGCTCCAGAAACAGTGCAACCTCGCTGCAATCCAAGCTAATAGCAGACAGAAATCTGTTTACAGGTGGTAGCACCGATAAATCCACCCCGATTTCCTTCCCTTTGGGGGATCGATGGATAAAATCTTAACTGATCTTATCTACCTTTACAAAGAAGTCAAGTTTATTTGTATAGCACATTTCAGCAACAAGGCAGTTCAAAGTGTTTTACATCACAAAAACATAACACAATAAACATTACATTTTCACATTACATCATCAGAATGGTCAAATATTTCGGTCAATGTTCCACTTACTACTAATATAAGGGAACTCTAACCAGGTGGGGTTTTATGCCTGATTTAAAGGAACTCTGTGTTTCAGCTTTTTAAAGTTTTCTAGATGTTTGTTAAAGATTTGTGGTTCATAGAAGCTGAATGCTGCTTCTCCATCTTTGGTTCTGGTTCTGGCCTACTAGTTCTTTAATCCTGGAGATGTCTTCTATCAGGTGACAGAAGGCCGACTTTGTAACTGTCTTTATGTGTCTCTTGAGGTTCAGGTCTGAGTCCATCACTGCACCCAGATTTTGGGGCTCTTCACTATTTTCTCGCTGTAACAACTGAAGCTGTGTGCTGACTCAAGATGAAGCATCTCTAAATCAGCCACTAACTGACCACAGGGTCACGTCTGCACATCCGCGTCCACTGTTGCCAACTTAGTGACTTTATTGCTACATTTTTAGACAAAATACTCCAAAACCAGAATCGGCAGGTCAGGCTTTTTGGAGAACAGTGATCGGCCAATAAACTGCAATTGGTGGTCCTCTAATGGTTAGTGTTAAAAATGGTTTCAGATTTGATTAAAAAATATATATTTTCATGGGAAAAAAACTGCATATGTTGTGTTTATGCAAAGAAAAAAAACTTGTATAATCACCATGTTCCATAGGTACCATGGATGAGGATACAGTTCTGTGTTCTAAATCAGGTTAATCTACAAACCAAAGGTTGTATGCCTATGAGTCCAGTTTGTTCAGTACTCCCATATACGTTCAGTGATGAGTAAACATAATCAAATCTGCCATTTTCATCCTGTCCTGAAAACTATAAACCTAAAATTATTAGTCAGAAACCCAAAACCAACTCCAACACTCTTCGGTGTAAAAGTTTATACTAAATAACTCAACGCGGATCAGTGAGGTATTTGAAAATGAAGTCAGAGGAAAGACAAACAGTGTAGAAATCCGCTAACCAGGGAGAGACTGTATGTCAGTAGTTCTTTAACGCTGCTGCTTCTACAGAAGGTGCAAAACCTCAACAATAACAGGAAGGTTGAACTTTCAACAGCAAAACCACTCCGTTTTATTATTATTATTTTTAGCTTTTAATCCCCGTTATGGAAGACGGCAACACACATGAGATTTCTGTTTTACGCCGACTCCTCTCACACACACAGTGTGACGTCACCTCTGTCTCTGTGAATAAGTGATGGCTAGTCGTAGCAGGGAGACTGGAAAGAAATTGAGATTTTTGATCATTGTTGGTAGTAGTTTTGAAATGGAAATTTACAATTGACTTGACAAGTCAAATGACTTTACATAAGCAGAGACCAGAAATGAGCCACAGACACAGAAACTCAGCCACACAATGTAGTTATTTTATTCTCTTGAGACATAAGACAAGAGAATAGCTGCATAATTAGCCAACTTCTTAGATTTGTTATTGGTTTAGTATGGAAGGATATCAGATTATCTTCTTTCAGGGTGTGTTATTATCAGTGTGACTAAATATTATCCTAAGATTGTCAACCAGCAGTTATATTAGCAGACTCATATAATTTGTGACACATAAAATAAAATCAGCAGCACATTTTCTTGCGGTGCTTTATTGAATTTAAAATTGATGGTATGAATCATAGAAAAGATCAAATGATCACTCAGCAAAGCTTAATTCATTTTAATAGAAAGCAACTGCAAATTGCAGCAACAGAGTTAAATCAAACTTTGTGCTAATTAAATTGCTAAGATTAGATTTAATTTGTCTGCACTTATCATACCTAAATGATGGCGTACATTTAAAATAAAATATATAAATGACAATAATTACCTCCCTGCTGCTTTACAATGCCTCCCTTTGCGGTCTGCCTCATGCATAAAGTCTTACAGGAAATGTATTAAATTGATACCTAGTTTCAAATCTTTTGTTCTGACACTAAGTTATGATGTTAAAAATTACTCATAAAGGCAATATAATATAAATCAGGACTGAGAAGTTAGTTTAAAAAGGTTTATACAGTCTTGTATTAACACAAAGCCAAAATGGAAATACTTCAGCAGAGACCCCACAGGAGCAAAAACAGGAACCCAGTCTGGAGCGGATTATAGTGCTCTTTCTAAACTATTTAAAATCTGTCACTACAGTGAGGAAGATTATTCAAAGCTGCAAAAATTAGCTCAATTCTAATCTTCTGACTACTGGACACATCTTAGTGAATTCACCCAAAGCTCAAAGTGTGCAGTACTCGGGAAAAAAAAGGAAGAGTTACATACAAGCTGCTCTCAATTTTTTCAAATTGTCTCTAATAGGCTCAAAATTCTACATACAGGCCCAAATAAACACATATTAAAGACAATTAACGACATGGATTGGTTTCCTGGCATGGGCCTGGATTTAAACAGAACAAGTTAAAAGTCTCTTTTTTCCCCAAGAAAAATTTTAAGTTGCCTCTAAATAAACCAGATGACTTTGAAGAGATGGGACTAAAGCAGAGTTTAAGCTCAAAGAAAAACTAACACCTGCAACTAAGCTTGTGGCATGGTGGAGGAGGAGTGATGATTTGGGCTTGTTTTGCAGCCATAGCTCCTGGGCACTTTGCTCTCTTTGAGTCCTTCATTAACTCCTCTGTATGTCAAAGTACTAAAGGGACAGTGTTATGTGTTGTCATTTTATAACACAATCAAGTAACTTTATGCACTTTAGTTGTTAAAAAATGCAATATATATCAACTTAAAATAAATTTGACCTTGTAATTTAACATCTTGACATTGGGCCTCTGTCTCTTTAAAAACTCCAGTTCTTTCTGAAGCTCCGCCTTCAGGAAGTCATCATAACATGGCTCCTCATTTACCCCTTTAATGTTTTTACCAGCGTTTCACTGAGAAGTAGCTCCTATAATGAGCGCAGCAGATGTGCAGTTCCAGGTGTTTGCTGCTAATTGCTGCTGGCTAGTCTGAAGGAGCTGAGTGGGGGAATCGCAGGGGAAGCTTGGAAACTGCAGCTCCAAAGAAGAGCTGCGCCCAGAAGGTGAAGCTAGGTCCAGCCAGGCATTTTGCACAGCTGTATTGTTGCCATGGAGATTAAAAGATTTGTCAAACATTTACTACAATTTATAAATGAGAACATTAAATACAAAATAAAGCATTAAAAATGTACATTTAAAAATGCGAAAGAAAACCAAAAGCAATATGCAAGAAATGAATGAGAAACTTTTTGAATGAGAAACTTTTTTGTCAAAGTGATGTCAAGACAACCTGGTCCTCACCATCACTTGGCAGCCAGGGCAGGATGGCAGCACAGAAATGTCAGAAAGGAGACCGCCGGTCCCACAGGAGTTAATGTTTCCCACAATGAGGGAACTGCTTCAGCATTTCAGCTGTTTCTCACACTGGCCTTCACAAATGTCATCCTGGAGATGGCACATACGGAAGGATTTACAAAACACTGTTTGGACACAGCTGGAGAAACGCAGATGAGCCTGAGCTGTAAGGAGATGATAATCTTAAGAGTACGCAGGTTTGGAACTCACGTAAAAGATTATTAAAACAATCTAACATTTTAAGATATGGCATGCTGATGCTGAGGCTCTTCCTTAAAGCTAATGGAAAACCCTTTTTATAATTGCAGACCAGAACTTTGCACGTCTCTACTGGTATTTTATATGATTTATCTTCGGAGATTGAGGTATTTTTCTTGTTTGCTTGTTTTAAACATACAAAAAGGTCTGAAACTTTAAATTTGCACGTTTGCACACAAGCAATGGATGATAAATTTTTTCTCTTGGCTCAATGGAGGTTCATTTTTGTTTCAAAAAACAAACTGAGGGGCGCTGGAAAAGGCGACTCATGAAGTGAGGGCAAAATGTTGAACTTGAATAACTTTTAGTTCAAGTTGTGCTAAAAGGAGTTAGCCTATTAGCAGAGCTATCCAAGCATCTCAATGCTAAACACACAGACGTTTCCTTTAACGCTTAATTGTAGTATCTAGATTTAGTCAATAATTTAGCAACTAAAATATATCCTGAATTGAAAATTAAGCGTATTTTGTCCATATAGAGTTTTTTATTAAAATGTGACTAATTGCAATTAACTCAATTAAAAT